ACTTTGTTTCACCCCTGAGCCCTCCTTCCGATCATCACTGTCGTGGCACAGAAATCCTGCATGTCTTTTAGTTGAAGCCGTATAGACAACGCAATTCTTAATAATATCGCGCAGCAAGGCAGCCGCTTCCAGCGCGAGAAGGAATTGGTGGGAGCACAGTTGCCGACTCTTCATTGTCATCTGGATATATCATCTTTATTTGTAAAACTTCATCTCCAGATATCATCAACATGTGTGAGCCATAGTTCGACTCGAACAAAGCCGTGCCTCACAATATATAAGGTTATAACGGCATTGTATAGCTGGCATCTGCAGCCTTATTGGACGTGAGGCCCACCATTGGAGGAGCGTGCGCAGGGTTGGATCACGTGATCTCGCCTCGCTCTGGTGAAAGAAATTGGGCAGTTGAATGTGTTGTTTTAAACCACGACTTTGCGCTGTTTTTGCTTTTGAACCGCGTTGTTTTGCTCTCACTTCATCTGTGCGGACTTCTGCAGATTACGCAGTCCGGAAAGTCGCTGTAAAGGTTATAGGCGTTGTGCCACAGTGACGGCCGCTGGTAGTGCCCCTGTCACCTCTCTTTTTCTTCATTTTTGTGGTTGGTATTTCAAGCTCATGTGGTTAAAATGAGCACCGACTAGGTATGTTCACATAAAAGCTGAACGTTCTGCAGTTTCTGCACGGGAGCTTTGTTCACAACGAAAAATGAATCTGCAAACAGTCTTAATATGTGGGGCTATGTGTATTTGAAATTTGCCATCACTACATTTTAGCGTGTGCATCATTGTCTGAATTATGAGACATTCAGGATAAAGCCCGGAAATGCAGTTCTTTTCCCTGAATTTTTCACCCTATTTTGGTCTATTTCGTGGCCAGTTGACCCGGCGTGTTCGGCGAGCGTGTTTGACGAAACCTTCTTTCTTAGATCATACATGTGCTGTTCCAGTCTTTGCTAAAGCTTACTTCTCTCGCGGAAGTAACTTTTACTGCAGTTTGTGCCACCCCTCCTCCTTCCCGTGTGTCCGTGCCCATGTGTGTACCCAACCTTTCCGGCTCTCCGTCCGCCAGTGGCGTAGACAGGGGGTAGCACACCAAGCCTGTAAACCCTCCCTTCCTCCCCCACCCCCCTAAATGTTTTCTCATGGCATATAGCGCACAAAGTAACGGTCGACCACATATGCCGGCCTGGCCTTTATTTTTAAACGAGGTGGTGCCCCCTTAAAAAAAAATTGGCCCCGTATCTGCTTGTTACACTGCAAATGTCGTTGAAAGACGATAGTCTTGCGTCTGGAGAGAGTGAACAAAACACATTATTTGATCTTCTGCGCTGAAAATAGGTGAATGGTATTCTGGAGGCGCTGTTTCAGAGTGCCTCGAGCGTGCAGCGAAGGCGAACGAGCGCATCAAGTCGCATCACACGTGAGTTATCTGGCAGTTATCATGAAAAACGAAGCACGCGGCGTGCACGCCCATCTCAGAGGTGATAAGGTGTAGAACACAAGGCGATGGGTAGGTGCCACCACCATGTCGTCTTTGCAAAGCGTTGGAAACACTTGCTTTTTGGTGCAAGCGTTGCATGGTCAGTGCAGCGGGATAAACGCTACGGTCCTTAGAATTATTTATGTATGCCTTTTCTAGTATAAAGGCACACGTACAGAATATTGACGTGTTGTTATGGTGCCTCAGATATGCAGAATAATTGCTTTTTAATGGATAATCGCACAAGTATGAACGCTAAAACTTGAGCAATATTAGTGGGCACTGCGGATGGAGTCTGCCGTTTGGGGTATCGTTTGGTGTAGTTTGAGGTATTGTTAAGGGCGGACAAACAGGCAAATGTACTTAAAGACCAAAATTACTGCGTCGAAGGTCCCCCAAAAAAAGACTATCATCTTTAAAAAATTCTGCCTGCGCCCCTGCCCATGGCCCCTGCCGTCCACAACTTCACCTTCAGGGTGGCCCATAGCCACTGCCACTTCTTTTCAATGTTGTTTTGATCTACAAGCGAAAATGCAGTCAGCTTCGAGAACTTGTTTATCCTCTAACTGCAGTAAAATGTCACACAGCTTATGAATGAAGCTGTAAAAAATCTGGACAATGGTGTTTGTACTGAATCATAAAATTGCCATTTAGGTCACGATATGCAAGACCTCAGAACATACTCATTCAAGGCGCAAAATAACACAGCTGGCTGGCAGGCATACAGTGCATTTGCTATCGTAGCTGAGCCCGGTTAGGATAGACTTTTTGACCCTGATTTACCCCTTTGTAGACGCTGTGGAATGAGCCAATCATTCATAATTTTTACCCGTGCATGGCTCGATAGCGATCAAATGTGCACCGTGTGGCAACCACAGAAAATTTGCGCAATAAATATTAGGATCATGCGGAAGAGAAACTTTGCCTCGTGTAAAATTTTACCTATAGTTACAACTCTGAATGAGGCACGCGTCTATGTGTGACTCACGTTTGCCCGCAATCACATCAGAAAGGTTGTGGCTGCATGGGGCTGTAAAAATGCTGTGTTGTTTTTCACAAAGGGGGGAATCTGCTTCCGCTGTGCTTCGTAGGCCTATGTGTACTAAACAAAATTATAAATTTGCGCTTGCTTGTCATGTAAACCACAACCCATCTTAGATGCAAATCTACAATGAATGAAGTAGTGTGGTTGCATAAATTTTTTACAGCGAAGCTAAGTTTCTTTACCGTTAATACCCATTTGATGCTTCAATTCGAAAAAGAACGAGTCGTTGCCTTTTACAAAAGCAGCGCGCTCTTCTTTTATAGTTTTCATATAGGTGGCCATAGCAAATGACCCTGGCAGTCAGGCATTATGGGAAAGGTAATTCTTTTTGGCGGAGTTATTAGCATTTCATACAGCTAGTGAAGAAGCTGCAGCAGTATGAGTTGACGTTATGAGCTGAGGAGTCCAGGTAGAGCTGAGAAGGAGGGTATGATATATAATCATCCGTAGCAGCCTTGGTACACGACATGTCACTAAATGTGTGGTGTGTATGTTTTAATGATGCTCTAGCCTAAACGCTCACAAAACTTTAAAAAAAAAACCTTTCAGGGTCCCTTAAGAATCTCTTGGAGTGTAATCGAAAGGCTCACTGTGATCACTGCATTCGTGGAGTAGTTTTGCCTACCTGAAAAGTTGTGAAGAAATATTGAGTCAAATGTGTTGCATGCCATTGAGACCGTGAGTTGTCTATTTGTACCAGGCCAACTTAAGGTGCATCTGAACATAGTGTGAAAGTGGAAAGCATAACCCTCCTCCTTTTATTCCTTGTTGCAGCCCTTATGCATGTGAGCTCAGCGCTAATCTTTGTGTTCTTTTCTTCTTGCTGAAGGTGTGAGACATGAAAGGCCTTGCCTGTTGTCATCTTTGGGACTAATTTCGATTAGTTACTGTGACTATACTGTTAAAGGGACCCTGAAACACTTTTTCAAGTAACCGTGGGATGAATTCACTGAGAGCTTATTGCCTCATGAGTTGAACGGCGCAAAAATTTCGAGAATCCGTCCAGTATGAGCAGAATTACGAAGATTTGCCGCACGCTGTAATCACATTCTGTCATCTCTTCTTTTGACGAAAGCTCTGGAAGCTAAGCAGGAAGGAATGGCGTAGGCAAAGCAAATACGTCATGTGCACCTTGTGACCTTGAGCACTGTTTTTTTTTCTTTCAATATGCAGCTTTTTCTGTTTGACCGCGCGCGCACATGTAGACAAGTCACGGCCTCCTACGGCGATCCTTGTAATGACCGAACGCGCCATGTTCAAATCAGCGAATGGCTGATAGAAGGCCTTCTACGGGTGATTTTTGAGCTTCCTTCGTAATTTGTAGAGATGGGAGAAATCAATTTTTCACTGACTTTGATAACTTATTGTGAATTCGAGGCCGCATGCTTTGCTATAATATTTGCCTCGCGTGTTCTGGATAGCCTCCGATACAGATCGGTCACATTTTCTGACCATGCTCACAAAGTGTTGCAGGGCCTCTTCACATGCCAAGTGCATTGAGTCATGTGCTCTGCCAATGCATCTGAATTCAGTGAGATAGAAAGGGGTGAGTGGATGCTCAAACAGAAGCAATTTTATGTTGTGTGGAAGGGGAAGGCCCATGGCAGGTGGTGAAAATGCTGATTCAGCTGCACAGGGGAAAGCTCAGTGTGCACTTAGCATTTAACTGCATAATTATAGTGTGGCCTACACCTGTGCCACTTTCCTTACTTATGTGCTCGTAATTGGTTTGTAATACTGAGTGACAAACACCACAGATTATTATTTATTGTGATGTCTGCCTGTGTCTGTTTCATGGTTGTGCTTACTACATATTGAACTAAGCACATCCGAATAGCTCAATTATTATTATAACTTACCTGCTGAATATTTTTAGGCTTCATAGTGTTACTCTAGAGGCAACAGTAATATAATAAACAAAAAGTACAATAAAATAGTATGTATACTTCTTGAAAAGTGCATGGTACAAGTCTGGCTCATCTTGTATTGCTTTGGGAGACATTTAAGTCATAGGTCTCGCTGAAATCTCATTGAATGCATATGTTATCTCAAAAGGACAATAAGGCTTGCTAGGAATCAGCAGCAATCGACTGGCTGGCCTTTTTTGTGTCACGAAATGGTGTAGAGCATTGTCCACTCTTAAATGGAACACTTACGTTGTGTTTGACTACTGAATAATGAAGTAGATGTGAAAGCCTGCAGGCAATTTTTTTTCAAATATATATATATATATATACATACATACATACATATTGTATAGATGTCTCTAAAACATTTTGTCATAATGTTTACCTAATAATTTTATTTATGCTGGATTTATCTTTAACCTTATGTTCTCTTAAAAATTAGACTATACTGTAAATAAGTTTTAGAACATACATCGCACACTATTCATCAGAAAGTGCTCTTTCAAGAACAGTACACACAGTAGCGGTGCCTTTTATTCACTACTGAATCTCTTTTTATTCATTTTTAGAGAAAAATTAGAAGAACGACTCGAATGGACATTCAGCTCTGAGAAGCACATCGGTGACTTTATGGACGGAATTTTTTCTATGGCTAAGTGAGTACCTCCAAAATTGTCTGTGTTGACAAACTTCTAGTGCACTGTACATGTCACAGGTTTGCCCTTTGTGGTGGCCAAATTTCAGTGCGACTGAACCTAATGGGCTTTTTTGCAGTCATATGACCCCATAGCATCGGCTGGCTGAAGAGCCTGTGTAAATGTGCCAGCTTCATTATTATATGCAACCACCATGTAGTTAAGTGGCTGTCATGACAAACATAAGCGTCAGAAAGCAGTTTTTTTTGCCCTTTTGTGTCAGCAGTTTGTGCAAAAGCTTCCTGCTTATTTCTATTGTATGTGCATGTTTACTCATTGTGGTTAGAGGGATGTAAAAACAAGTGTGTTAGTGGTTTTTCCGTTACTATTGAGTAACGTATATACTCGTGTAATAAATGCATTTTTTTTCTCAGAAATGTTTAAGCAAAGTTGGGGGTGCGTTCATTATGCGGGGCAGATTTTATGAACACTTTTTTGGGATGAGTTCACAGTTTCGCCGAAATCACAGTTTCGCCAAAAGCGTCAAGCAATGAATGCGATAGCAACATATTGGTATGTTTTACAAAGCAAGGCTAGCATTTTCAAAAGCAATATTAAATTTAGTAAACATGCGCTAACTTAGTAACCAGGTATCCTGCAGCACGGACACAGTAGATGACCACAACAAGGCTCGTGCGTAGTGACTGCATCATGAAAAGCACCTCTCGTGGGCAGCACATGCTGGTATTAAGGGCTATACGTCGTGTGTCGTCGCTGGTGGCAGTTATGTGCAGAGCGCGTCTATAGGTAGACAGCTACTCCAGGTACACTTTTGGCACCATTTTTTCGTGTTGAGAGAGCAGCCCGTAGAAGTTCCCTCCTGCTGGGGGGCAAGAGCCACGCACTGATTATTACTGCGATAGCGCGGCAACCATAAGCGTCCTCCCCCTCCCTGTTCACTCAGAAGATCAGCGCGCACGCAGATGACCCCAGCCAGAGAGGCGATGTTCCCTCCACAGAATGAGGAGGCTAGCGCATTCTTTCCCGTATATATATTGATGCGTGTCTACATGTGGACGAAAACGATGAAAAAGGGATTCAGTGGACACGAGGTAGTGGGCCTTTAGCTTCACTCAAGACCGAAGAAGACGATCTTGTGGCTCAGCTGTTTAGAACATGCTGCTTTCATTGTCTCAAGTTGTACCTGTGTTTTGTTCATGTTGTACAGCGACACTGGTGGAGGTGCTGGGCCGCAACCCTGTCTGATGCTCCACACGCCCGCTGGGAGCCGTTCATCGAGTACAGACGCATTGTCACCTGTGGAAACTCTGGTGCATTGCTCCAGTCGACGGTTGCGAGGCTTCGCGCCAGAATCTCACTCTCTCGCCGGAATCTGCTAGGCACCTCAACCAATGGCCAACGCAAGCCCGCAACAGGTGCCCCAAGGCAGCTTTCTGACGCACCCAGTTGCCAAGGTCAATCGGTGGTCGGAACAGGAAAAGCTTTGTCGCGTCTATTTCTACCTTGACGACGGTGCTCGTACTTGGTATGAGAATAGAGAAGGCAATCTGTCAGCTTGGCCCGACTTTCGACAGAAGTTCGTCGATACCTTCGCCAATGTCGATCGAAGAGACCGTGCGCAGAAGTTATTGGAGCTACGGGTTGAAAAACCCAACGAAACCGTTGCAATGTTTGCCGAGGACATGACTCGTCTCTTTCATTGAGCTAACCCGCACATGACGGAAGATAAAAAGTTGAGTTACCTCATGCGCGGTATGAAGGAACAGATTTTTGCCGAGCTACTGCGCAACCCTCCAAGTACCGTGGTTGACTTCATTTAAGAGGCTACGGTTATTGAGCGGGCCCTTCATCAACGCTGCAGGCAATATGACCGCATGTCTAGCAATGTCCCAATCAATGTTTCTGCCATGACGTCTGAGAGTCGGAGCTCCTTGCGAGACTTGATTAGGGAGGTAGTTCGCGAAGAACTTCAGAGGTTACGGATTCCGGTTGCTGAAAATCCCATCGCGTCGGTCACTGAAGTCGTACACTACGAAATCCACCAAGCGTTGTCTACGGCTGGTCCTGATGCTTAGCACCGTCCTATGAGCTACGCTGCCGCTCTCCGACGTCCATCACCCGCTATGCCGACGCTGTTCCACCAGGTGCCAATGGCCCCTTGGTCTCCGCCGCAAGAGAAAACACTGCAACCACCCATGGGCGTCGACGCCAGGGAAGATACTCAGACATCCACCGACCCGAAAAACAGATGCATGGCGCACAGTGGACAGACGCCCACTATGCTTTCACTGCGGAGGTGCAGGCTATATTGTTCGTCATTGCTGGCATCGAGGTGATTCATTCCGTTCTCATCGACCTTGGTTTGACGGTCGACGTGCCAACGACCAATGCACTCCACGCCGTGACGACACCTCTTTTTATAGACTCGTTCTCACTTTAATGACGGCTGTACCACTGCAGAGGAGGCAATGCCTACTCACCCTCCTGGTCTGAGACGTCAATCCCGCTCTCTGTCTCTCGCGCATTCGCCTTTGTCGCACCGCCGCACCTACTCAGACCTTAATACAAGAAGGTCACCTAGCCCTCGTCGGCGAAACTGAGGGCAGTGACCTCCGGGAGCAAGGTTGCAGGCCATAAAGATGATGATAAGGAGCCCTCGCAGCGTGACGTCGTACAGCCGATTGTGACTACAGCCGAAATGTGACTGCCGAAATTGTGACTGCCGACCTTAGTGTTCTTCTTGATGGCCAGAAAGTGACAGCTTTAGTCGACACTGGTGCCGACTTCTCCTATCAGTCAGGACCTCGCCGACAGCTTCAGAAACATGAAGACGCCGTGAACGGGCCCTCATATAAAAACGGCAGGGGGCCAGTTATTGATGGCCTCTGGAAGATGTACCGCAAGAATTGACGTCAGAGGTTCTCCTTTTACTGCGTCGTTCATCGTTATCGCCGCATGCTGCAGAAATGTAATACTTCGCATGGATATTTTATGGAAATATGGCACCGTCATCAACATACCAAGAGCTAAATACATTTTGCAACAGTTTGGGCTTACCCAATTCTTCAGAGGCACGATTAAACCAACTGCGTCTTACTAATGATGACGTTGTTCTCCCTCTTAAGTCATGCACGCTTGTTTGTGTGGCCGCCGCTGCTCAGTTTGACGCCGAAGGAGTTGCAGACCAAATAAACTCGCTGCTTTTCACCCACGGTATTTCCGTCGCACGAGGTATTGTCAGAGTTGCGGCTGGACGCACGGACTTGCTGCTGACCAATTTTAGTGCTGAGCGTCGGCACCTTCCAAGAGGCACGCCTGTCGCTTACTTCGACAATGTCGTACATGCTGAAGGCTGCTTGGCAGTAGTCATCGAGTCGCTAAATCTTAATTCACCGCCTATTTTGGACGTTAGCATTACTTTCCCGAAAGACGACCGACGCAGGCTCCTTGAGCTACTGGCCAAATTTCAAAGATGCTTTTCGACAACATCAAGAGTTGGCCGCACGCCTCTAACCAGGCATCGAATAATTACCGAGGAAACGGCGAGACCTATTCACCAGAACACTTATCACGTGGCTCCAAAAAAAGGTGAAGCGATACAACACCAGGTAGACAGAATGCTTGAAGATGGCGTCATTGAGCCTTCACAGAGCCCCTGGGCGTTGCCTGTAGTCCTCGTTAAGAAAAAAGACGGCAGCCTGCGCTTCTGTGTGGATTACCGGTAGCTAAAACAGGTGACCAAGAAAGACGTATATCCACTACCGCGTATAGACAACTCTCTCGACAGACTTCGAAATGCTCGATACTTCTCTTCAATGGACTTGCGGAGTGAATATTGGCAGGCTGCAGGAGTTCGATATGGCAGTCGTACATAAGTCAGGGAAGCGACATATGGTCGCCGACTGTTTGTCCCGTTCACTCATTGAGTCAGCAACTACTACCCGAGGAGGAGGAAACATCATTTTTCGGTGTCCTCGACACTACTGCCATTGCGCAGCAACAACGTGACGATGCTGAGTTGCTTGGCCTAATTACCTACTTGGGTGGCAGATCTCGGAAGGCGGCAAGAGTTTTCACAAGAGTGTTGTCATCGTTTTGTTTACTGAGCGGAGTACTCTACAAAAGAAGTTTTTCGTCGACGGGATCTGCTTATCTGCTCGTCATTCCAGCAGCCCTTCACACGGAAGTACTGAAAGCATGCCACAACGAGGTTACCTGTGGCCACTTAGGTTACACGAGAACGCTGGCCAGGGTACAGCAAAGGTATTACTGGCCAAAACTAACCACAGCCGTGAAGTACCACGTTCGTACCTGTCTCGACTGCCAGCGATGCAAGTCACCACCGACTAAACCAGCTGGCCTCCTGCAACCCGTACAGGTCCCAACGACTCCATTCCACCAAATCAGCATGGACATTTTGGGCCCACTCCCTACTTCTACTACAGGCACCCGATGGGTTATCATCGCGACGGATTATCTGACCCGTTATGCCGAAACAAAGGCTATCCAGAGAGGTACAGCAGCGGAGGTGGCAAGATTTTTCATCGAGAATATTATACTGAGGCATGGTGCACCAACCGTTGTAATCACAGACAGAGGAACCGCGTGTACGGCAGATCTTTTGGTCCATCTCTTGATGCTGAGTGGAACAACGCATCGTAAGACCACTGCCTACCACCCGCAAACGAACAGGCTGACAGAGCGCCTAAACAAAACCATTGAAGACATGCTTTCGATGTACGTAGACGTTGAACACGAAAATTCGGATGAAATCTTGCCTTACATAACGTTTGCATACAACACAGCCGAGCAAGAAACGACCTGTATGACACCGTTCAGCCTCGTTCATGGACCGCAAGTACGAACCATATTAGATGCAATGTTACCGCACGAAGCTGACGACATTGTTCTGGACGCCGACACGTCTACAGAACGCGCGGAAGAAGCTAGGCAACTTGCACATTTGCGGATCAGCCAGCAGCAAGAGTACGATGCAGGTC